TTTTTTTTTTTTTTTTTTTTTTTTTTTTTTTTGCGGTACGTGGGCCTCTCACTGTTGTGGCCTCTCCCGTTGCGGAGCACAGGCTCCGGACGTGCAGGCTCAGCGGCCATGGCTTGCGGGCCCAGCCGCTCCGCGGCATGTGGGATCTTCCCGGACCGGGGCACGAACCCATGTCCCCTGCATCAGCAGGCGGACTCTCAACCACTGCGCCACCAGGGAAGCCCCTGAAACTCTTTTTAACTCTTATTTCTCAGCTTTATTTAGCCATGGAGTCCCCCCCCCCCCCCCCTTTTTTTTTACAAAGCAGTTAGTAACATCACATAGAATACTTCCTACTATAAATTTCTGTGGAACACATGCTTAGGTCTAGAAACAGATGCTATTTGTAGTGATTTTAATGCACCTAGTTGCTTCTGGGCCCTTAATTTGATGTGTATTTCTATTTACTTGTGATAGGTAATATTGCACACATTTTAAAAAGTGAGATGTTGCTTTTGTTATGAGAGAGATTAATGCTTATTGATAGTGGAGTTCAGATGATTTTAGCATTGTGTGTGATTGGAAAACTGCCTCACTCTAGGATTAATCAAGTATCATGGGAGGTGGATTAATGGGTGACCAAATTTATTTTTCTTCATATTTCTTTTGTTTTCTTAGGTCTTATCATGGTCTTGGCTGGAGCCTCTGAATTTGATCCTCAGTATAACAAGGATGCCACAAGCAGACCAACAGATAATATTCTAATACCTCAGGTTAGGCCTGTCTCCCAAATTCCTTGATAAACATTTAAGTATATAAGGTTAATGCTTTTTTAAGTATACATTTTTAAATAATTATTTTATTTACTCTAGCTAATCAGAGAAATTGGCAGCATTAATTTAAAGAAGAATGAGCCGCCACTTACCTGCCCATATAGCCTGAAGGCCAGAGTTCTTTTACTGTCTCATCTTGCTAGAATGAAAATTCCTGAGACCCTTGAAGAAGGTATTTGTGATTCTAATATCTGTAGGGTTTTAGTGGTACAGAAGAGGTGGATTTAATTAGACCTCGTGGTGCAGTGTTTTTTTGTCACTGTTCTTTTTTGCTCAATCAGATAATTACTCAAGGACCTTTTAAAAACAAATCTATATGCTATGTACATAATTCACAAATTCTTTGAAGGTATTAGTAAGTCAGATGTTTTGGCAAATGTTAAAATGTTGTATTTCAAGGTGAGAGAATACTCTCTATAAAAAATGTTAAGTCAGTTGCAGATTATACAATAATTCCTGATGGCTTTTAAAAAAGGATTTTGTAAGCCTTTTGGGGCAAGGAAAAAATGGATTTTCACAACAGATGTCTCAGTCACTGCCACCAGTACCACCATCATACTCCAGCAGTAGTTACCAATGAAGTGTCTGTTTAATCTTTATTTAAAGCTTCAGAAGTACTTGAAGCCATCTATTCTACTTAAAAGAAAAGCAGTGGATTGGGACAGTGGTGTTTCCAGGGATGTCATGAATTTGAGTGTCATCTCTTTTCACTTGCATTATTTCAATTGGAAGTTCTAAAAGAAAGTTATTATCCTTAGGGAATTTTCTTTCTGAATGAACCAACCCTCCCCCCACCACTTTAAGCCAATAATGCAATCAAATGCCTTTGAAAACAAGGTCAGTTGATGCTCAGTGATTAATGATAGGATAGGCTGCTTATGATGGAATCAAGGAGCGCTATTTAGGCATTGTTTATTGAAGTTGCAAGTTAACTAGTAATTCTGTTCCTAATGTTCTGTACAGATATGAAACCATCTCCATTTTTACCAATTATCTTAGAATCAGGGAACAGATTTTTTTTTAGGTTGAGTACCAACCCCAATGGATGATCTTAATGGTTAACTATTATATGCAGTATAAATGAAAGTGTCTGTCTCCCTCCTCCTCCTCCTATCCTCCTCTCTCCATTTGGTTGACATTTATTCTCAGTCTTAGTCTTTGGACTTATCCATAATTATAGGAATTTAGGTACACAGGAAGAAGAATTTTGAAGTTCTTAAATCAGTAAGATTATGATTAAATTTAAGATTAAGGCTATTTCCAAAAAAAAAGGTAGGGAGTAATTTATAAAGCCCAAGACCATAATATTAAAAGTTTGCCTTTGAAACATCTAATTTGAGGTAGGGTTTTCTGATTGATTTTTGACATAGTGCTGCCGAGGAGAAACTATTGTAATATTCTGAGGTCATGTGAAAAATGTGTGTGACAGCTTAAATTTAGCATTCGTCTTGGACTACAGGTGATAAAGGTGTTTTAATCATAAAAGAAGAATGATTTGTTTCAGGTGTTTTATTGTTTTGCAGATCAGCAATTTATGCTGAAAAAATGCCCTGCCCTACTTCAAGAAATGGTTAATGTAATCTGCCAACTAATAATAATGGCCCGGAGCCGTGAAGGTGAGGAGGAAGTATAATTATGTTGTACTTTTTCTTGCAAGCACATACAGATTACACTTCATAGTTTTAAGATTTTTGGGTGCTTAGTATAATTCTGTCTGTAAGGTGAATCAGTTTTCCCAGTTTTGTTCATGGTTTTCCTTATTTCTTTCCTGTATTTTTTATTATGTAAAGTATGGTGACTTATGTTCTTTGAATTTAATTTTTCATTGTTTTATTGTTATTTATTGTTTGCAGAGATTTAAAATACCCTTTTCCTTCCTCTGAGTAGTTTTAGAATTAGGTTAACAATGAGTTTGAAGTAATTCTTTAAGTGATGTGATGATGATTCATCTGACGTGTAGTGATTTTTACATAATGGAAAAAAGAACGAGGGAGTTTATTTATGGTTAGTAATGGAAAGAGAGACCCTTAAAAAAGAGATACTGGTTGTGTTTTGTTGTTATGGATGATGTCAGTTTTTGGCATGACATCAGTATGTGCATTTGACCAAGTTTGTGTATTTTCTGTGTCTTACCCAGTAACTTTTAAAGGAAATTCAACACTGTGATCGTAAAATTTGAGGTGTTAAGGATGTTCACATGAATTTGTTTTTGTGATGAATTGTGTACTCCTGAACATATAAAAAGTCCAGACCTGTTTTTGCTTTTCTTCTATTCTTTCTAAGAAAGGGAGTTTCGTGCTCCAACTTTGGCATCCCTGGAAAACTGCATGAAGCTTTCCCAGATGGCTGTGCAAGGCCTTCAGCAGTTTAAGTCTCCCCTTCTGCAGCTTCCTCACATTGAAGAAGACAATCTTAGAAGGGTTTCTAATCATAAAAAGGTAATTTGCTACTTTAAAATTAGTTTTAAGCAGTTTGTCCTGTCACTTAAAGGTAACATGAATGAAAATTTTTCTAGAAATGGTTACTGTGAACTTCTTAGATTTATGATGTTTTAAACATTCTAAAACATCCCTCAAGTGATTCTGTTAATACTTTCTTGATTAGGTAGCTGTTTTATAATATTTTACTACTGTAGTGGTTTACTTTGGGGGTCAGTGCATTTTAGCAGTCAACACTTTCTTTTTTCTTTATGTTGCCGAAAATAAGCGTACTAAGTAAAAATGCACTGTATACTTTCCATTTATTTCATTCGTGGCTTAAAGGTTGGGCAATAGTTTATTGGTTGAGTCTGAACAAAAAAAATCAAGCATTCAAAAAATAAGTAGATCAAATACAGATAATTCTTATTTAGAAAATACAATCTGTATATAGATTATGATAATGAATCTTAAGATATTTCAGAAATGTAATATAAATAAAAACTTGAGGAAATACAAGAAAATGTGGAATGAAATTGTAAGTTTGGTAGATTTTAAACATTACTTTGTATGTATTGATATTAGACAAAGTAGGCAGACGATAGACATTGGATTTGATAGTGTTAAGGCAGAACTTATAAATACATATTAGAAATTTGCATCAGAGTTCTCTCCTTTCGAGGAAGTGTGTTACTCTTATAAATTTGATCACATTTTAAGTCATAATTGTAAACTTCAGAATTCAAAAGCAGGTATTTCACATGCCTCATGAGCTAATCCCTATCGGTGAAAGTAAAAATTAATAACTGGCACCGAATACTCAGAAATTAAAAAACCCTCTCCTGAGTATCCATTTAGCCAGGCTGGGTTTTACTGCAATACGGATAGCTGTATTTAGAAAATAACAAAAATGAGAGTACTGCATAGTAAAACTTAAGGGTGCATGCAGCTATTACTTGGACATAAATTCATACTCTTAAAGGTTTTTATCATTAAAATTAAAAATAAAGGTCTGCAAACTGAACAAATCAAATGACAGTCATTCTTGCTTGGGTCAAGAGTTTATATGAATGTTATTATTTTTTTCCTCTAACTTTATTTTTTTCTAATTAAAAAAAGTAGCTGTGTATTAACTTTGTAATAAAAAAAATTCTTAAAAAAAAAAAGAAAAATTCTTAAATTTCCTTGGAGAAAAAGGCCATGAAATACAGTGAAGTTGTATTTTCTGCTTTGAAATGTATATAATCTTAACATTTTTCTAAAAGTTTTTGGATTTTGTTTTGGTAAACATGCTAATAATTTTCCTTTTATGTAAAGTTATATGACTTCGGGATTTATTTTCTTTCTCTCTCTTTTTAAATTTAGTACAAAATTAAGACTATCCAGGATTTGGTGAGTTTAAAAGAATCAGATCGTCACAATCTATTGCACTTCCTTGAAGATGAAAAGTATGAAGAGGTTATGGCTGTCCTTGGGAGTTTCCCATATGTGACCATGGACATAAAATCACAGGGTAAGTGGGAGGTTTCCCATTGCTTCCCTTTTGATAGATTGGCTTTTGTTTATTTGGCTCAAGGCCCTCAAAACACTTCATTTAATAACTTTTAATTAGACTTTGCAGAACTGTAGTTTACCTGTCAGATTTGCTGTGATGGAAGATGTTGTATACTTATTAGTTTTGAGAACCCTACTTTTATTATCCTCCTAATGGGCTTAGGTTTGAGGATGCTTCTGTTCTGTAGTTCAGCTTTCAAGAAGATCTTAACTTTTCAAAGAATGAAAGAGATTTCTAGATGTAATGAAGGATATTTGAAATATATCTATTGTTAGTATAAGATACCTGCTTAGTCCTAAAATTAATTTTTAAAAAACCTAATTTGTTTATATTAATTAAATCTTGAGAATCACCATGCTCTGTGCCACATTTCATGTGTTTTTCTTGACTTACTTCTGTCTTTGTCTGCTTGGAGTGAAAAAAAATAGAGATTATTTTTCTACCTACATAATTGTCCTGTGAGTTCCCATTTTAGAGCCAAATATAGTATCTTAGTATGGTGACAGAATTAGAGATTATTCTGCTCCATTCCTTCATTGTGACATTGTTCTGAGCTTTGACATTTGCTAAGTTGCCATTGTGAAAACATTCTTGTGGGACCAAGAATACAAGGATGTGTTAGGAATGGTTTCTGTTTTTAAAGGGCTTGTAGTTAAGTTTATTTTATTGTTAGACTTTTGGGGTTGTGTGTGGCAAATGTGGTTTTAAAAAATTAAACAATTGCAAAAAATGTTTTTAAAGTGTTTTTTAATATAAACAATATTTTCAAGTTCTTGCCTTAAAATATCTTTACTGTTGCTCAGAATACTAGTTTTAATTATTTTATTCTTACAGGCACGCATTTGTTCATATAGGTAAGATCTTGTGAGTATAAAGTTTGCACAATTTAATAGAGTGACAGAATCCTATTTTTATATCACTGTGAGAGAAAGCTGTTGTAGTCCTAACATACTCTGTTTTAAAAGGCTTGGGTTTGAAACTTGGCAGTGTAGATATAGCCATTTTGTGACCTTGGGCATTTTACTTTATTTCTGAACCTCAGTATCTTCTTTAAAGAAATAATAATAATGCTTCATAGAGCTGATTTAAGGATTAAATGGGTACATTGTTGAAGGCATCTACTAGAGAGCTTTTTACAGAGTACATAGTCAATAAATTATTTTTTATTTAGTAGGTTTAAAACTCTGTATGTTTGAAATACTGAAATACCAGATTGATTTGAATAAGTTGTTTTGCTGTTTGCCTTGACATAGAACTTGATTTTTATTTATTTGTTTTTCTTTTATCTTATAGTATTGGATGATGAAGATAGCAACAACATCACAGTAGGATCCTTAGTTACAGTGTTGGTTAAATTGACAAGGCAAACAATGGCAGTAAGTAGTCTGTAGTTTTATGCTTTAAGAGTTATGTGTTAAGGCTTTTATATTCTCTCACTCTAAGTTATACATTCTCAAAGTCAAAACTGTTGTAGATTTGCAAATGTAATTTTGCAGGTTCTGTTAGCTGTTTTGAAATTTTAAATTAATTTTTATAGTTTTCACATTAGTTTTTCACACACACACAGTTGAAAAATACATTAATTCTTCCTCTGATGATTTGTTAATTCCCTATAAAACATTATAATTACAAGGTCGTGTGGGTATCATTCTTAAATTGTAAAGTGTTATACAGAGATTAATTATTGATTATTGTTGAGAATTTTATTACCTCCTTTTTTTTGAATTTTATTTTTTTATACAGCAGGTTCTTATTAGTTATCTGTTTTATACATATTAGTGTATATATGTGAATCCCGATCTCCCAGTTCATCCCACCACCACCAGCACCCCCCCTCCACCACTTTCCTGCACTTGGTGTCCATACGTTTGTTCTCTACATCTGTGTCTCTATTTCTGTCCTGCAAACCAGTTCATCTGTACCATTATTCTAGTTTCCACATATATGCGTTAATATACGATATTTGTTTTTCTCTTTCTGACTTACTTCACTCTGTATGACACTCTCTAGATCCATCCACGTATCAAAAATGACTCAATTTCGTTCCTTTTTATGGCTGAGTAATATTCCATTGTATATATGTACCACATCTTCTTTATCCATTCATCTGTCGATGGGCATTTAGGTTGCTTCCATGTGGCTATTGTAAATAGTGCTGCAATGAACATTGGGGTGGATGTGTCTTTTTGAATTATGGTTTTCTCTGGGTATATGCCCAGTGGTGGGATTGCTGGGTCATATGGTGATTCTATTTTTAGTTTTTTAAGGAACCTCCATACTGTTCTCCATAGTGGCTGTATCAATTTACACTCCCACCAAGAGTACAAGAGGGTTCCCTTTTCTCAACACCCTCTCCAGCATTTGTTGTTTGTAGATTTTCTGATAATGCCCATTCTTACTGGTGTGAGGTAATACCTCACTGTAGTTTTGATTTGCATTTCTCTAATGATGTTGAGCATGTTTTAATGTGCTTCTTGGCCATCTGTATGTTTTCTTTGGAGAAATGTCTGTTTAGGTCTTCTGCCCTTTTTTTTTGGCGGTACGCGGGCCTCTCACTGTTGTGGCCTCTCCTGTTGCGGAGCACAGGCTCCGGATGCGCAGGCTTAGCGACCATGGCTCACGGGCCTAGCCGCTCCGTGGCATGTGGGATCTTCCCGGACCGGGGCACGAACCCGTGTTCCCTGCATCAGCAGGCGGACTCTCAACCACTGTGCTACCAGGGAAGCCCCTGCACATTTTTTGATTGGGTTGTTTGTTTTTTAATATTGAGCTGCATGAGCTGTTTATATATTTTGGAGATTAATCCTTTGTCCGTTGATTCATTTGCAAATATTTTCTCCCATTCTGAGGGTTGTCTTTTTGTCTTGTTTGTCGTTTGCTTTGCAAAAGCTTCTAAGTTTCATTAGGTCCCATTTGTTTATTTTTGTTTTTATTTCCATTACTCTAGGAGGTGAATCAGAAAGATCTTGCTGTGATTTATGTCAGAGTGTTCTTCCTATGTTTTCCTCTAAGAGTTTTATAGTGTCCGGTCTTACATTTAGGTCTCGAATCGATTTTGAGTTTATTTTTGTGTATGGTGTTAGGGAGTGTTCTAATTTCATTCTTTTATGTGTAGCTGTCCAGTTTTCCCAGCACCACTTATTGAAGAGACTGTCTTTTCTCCATTGTATATCCTTGCCTCATTTGTCATAGATCAGTTGACTATAGGTGTGTGGGTTTATCTCTGGGCTTTCTATCCTGTTCCATTGATATATATTTCTGTTTTTGTGCCAGTACCATATTGTCTTGATTACTGTAGCTTTGTAGTATACTCTGAAGTCAGGGAGTCTGAATCCTCCAGCTCCGTTTTTTTCCCTCAAGACTGCTCTGGCTATTTGGGGTCTTTTGTGTCTCCATACAAATTTTAAGATTTTTTGTTCTAGTTCTGTAAAAAATGTCACTGTTAATTTAATAGGGATTACATTGAATCTGTAGATTGCTTTGGGGAGTATAGTCATTTTCACAATATTGATTCTTCCAATCCAAGAACATGGTATCTCTCTCCATCTGATTGTGTCATCTTTGATTTCTTTCATCAGTGTCTTATAGTTTTCTGAGTACAGGTACAGGTCTTTTGTCTCCCTAGGTAGGTTTATTCCTAGGTATTTTATTCTTTTTGTTGCAGTGGTGAATGGGATTGTTTCCTTAATTTCTCTTTCTGATCTTTTGTTATTAGTGTATAGGAATGCAAGAGATTTCTGTACATTAATTTTGTATCCTGCAGCTTTACCAAATTCATTGATTAGCTCTAGCAGTTTTCTGGTGGCATCTTTAGGATTCTCTATGTGTAGTATCATGTCATCTGCAAATAGTGACGGTTTTACTTCTTCTTTTCCCATTTGTATTCCTTTTATTCCTTTTTCTTCTCTGATTGCCGTGGCTAGGACTTCCAAAACTATTTTGAATAATAGTGGTGAGAGTGGACATCCTTGTCTCGTTCATGATCTTAGAGGAAATGCTTTCAGTTTTTCACCATTGAGAATGATGTTTGCTGTGGGTTTGTCGTATATGGCCTTTATTATGTTGAGGTAGGTTCCCTCTATGCCCACTTTCTGGAGAGTTTTTATCATAAATGGATGTTGAATTTTGTCAAAAGCTTTTTCTGCATCTATTGAGATGATCATATGGTTTTTATTCTTCAGTTTGTTAATATGATGTATCACATTGATTGATTTGCATATATTGAAGAATCCTTGCATCCCTGGGATAAATCCCGCTTGATCATGGTATATGATCCTTTTAATGTGTTGTTGGATTCTGTTTGCCAGTATTTTGTTGAGGATTTTTACATCTATATTCATCACTTACACTGGTCTGTAATTTTCTTTTTTTGTAGTATCTTTGTCTGGTTTTGGTATCAGGGTGATGGTGGCCTCATAGAATGAGTTTGGGAATGTTCCTTCCTCTGCAATTTTTTGGAAGAGTTTGAGAAGGATGGGTGTTTAGCTGTTCTCTAACTAAATGTTTAATAGAATTCACCTGTGAAGCCATCTGGTCCTGGACTTTTGTTTGTTGGAAGATTTTAATCACAGTTTCCATTTCATTACTTATGATTGGTATGTTCATATTTTCTATTTCTTCCTGGTTCAGTCTTGCAAGGTTATACCTTTCTAAGAATTTGTCCATTTCTTCCAGGTTGTCCATTTTATTGGCATAGAGTTGCTTGTAGTAGTTTCTTAGGATGCTTTGTATTTATGCGGTGTCCGTTGTAACTTCTCCTTTTTCATTTGTAATTTTACTGATTTGAGTCCTCTCCCTCTTTTTGTTGATGAGTCTGGCTAATGGTTTATCAATTTTGTTTATCTTCTCAAAGAACCAGCTTTTAGTTTTATTGATCTTTGCTATTGTTTTCTTTGTTTCTATTTCAGTTATTTCTGCTCCGATCTTTATGATTTCTTTCCTTCTACTAACTTTGGGTTTTCTTTGTTCTTCTTTCTCTAGTTCCTTTAGGTGTAAGGTTAGATTGTTTATTTGAGATTTTTCTTGTTTCTTGAGGTAGGCTTGTATAGCTATAAACTTCTCTCTTAGAACTGCTTTTGCTGCGTCCCATAGGTTTTGGATCATCATGTTTTCATTTTCATTTGTCTCTAGGTATTTTTTGATTTCCTCTTTGATTTCTTCGGTGATCTCTTGGTTATTTAGTAATGTATTGTTTAACCTCTACGTGTTTGTGTTTTTTCCGTTTTTTTCCGTTATGGATTTCTAATCTCAAAGCATTGTGGTCAGAAAAGATGCTTGATATGATTTCAATTTTCTTAAATTTCCTGAGGCTTGATTTATGACCCAGGATGTGATCTATCCTGGAGAATGTTCCGTGTGCACTTGAGAAGAAAGTGTAATCTGCTGTTTTTGGATGGAATGTCCTATAAATATCAATTAAATCTATCTGGTCTATTGTGTCATTTAAAGCTTGTGTTTCCTTATTAATTTTCTGTTTGGATGATCTGTCCATTGGTGTAAGTGAGGTGTTAAAGTCCCCCACTGTTACTGTCGATTTCCTCTTTTATAGCTGTTAGCAGTTGCCTTATGTATTGAGGTGCTCCTGTATTGGATGCATATATAATTATAATTGTTATATCTTCTTCTTGGATTGATCCCTTGATCATTATGTAGTGTCCTTCCTTGTCTCTTGTAACATTGTTTATTTTAAAGTCTATTTTATCTGATATGAGTATTGCTACTCCAGCTTTCTTTTTTTTTTTTTCCGTACGCGGGCCTCTCACTGCTGTGGCCTCTCCCGCTGCCGGAGCACAGGCTCCGGACGCGAGGCCCAGCGGCCATGGCTCACGGGCCCAGCCGCTCCGCGGCATGTGGGATCCTCCCGGACCGGGGCACGAACCTGCATCCCCTGCATCAGCAGGCGGACTCTCAACCACTGCGCCACCAGGGAAGCCCTCCAGTTTTCTTTTGATTTCTGTTTGCATATCTTTTTCCATCCCCTCACTTTCAGTCTGTATGCGTCCCTAGGTCTGAAGTGGCTCTCTTGTAGACCACACATATATGAGTCCTGTTTTTGTATCCATTCAGCGAGCCTATGTCTTTTGGTTGGAGCATTTAGTCCATTCACGTTTAAGGTAATTATCGATATGTATGTTCCTCTGACCATTTTCTTAAATGTTTTGGGTTTGTTTCTTCTCTTGTGTTTCCCACGTAGGGAAGTTCCTTTAGCATTTGTTGTAGAGATGGTTTGGTGGTGCTGAATTCTCTTAGCTTTTGCTTATCTGTAAAGCTTTTGATTTCTCTGTGGAATCTGAATGAGATCCTTGCTGGGTAGAGTCATCTTGGTTTTAAGTTCTTCCCGTTTATCACTTTAAATATATCATGGCACTCCCTTCTGGCTTGTAGAGTTTCTGCTGGGAAATCAGCTGTTAACCTTATGGGAGTTCCCTTGTATGTTGTCATTTTTCCCTTGTTGCTTTCAGTAATTTTTCTTTGTCTTTCATTTTTGTCAATTTGATTACTTTGTGTCTTGGCGTGTTTCTCCTTGGGTTTATCCTGCCTGGGACTCTCTGCACTTCCTGGACTTGGGTGGCTATTTCCTTTCCCACGTTAGGGAAGTTTTCAACTATAATCTGTTCAAATATTTTCTCGAGTCCTTTCTCTCTCTCTTCTCCTTCTGGGACCCCTGTAATGCGAATGTTGTCCCATTTAATGTTGTCCCACAGGTCTCTTAGGCTGTCTTCATTTCTTTTCATTCTTTTTTCTCTATTCTGTTCTGTTGCAGTGAATTCCACCATTCTGTCTTCCAGGTCACTTATGTGTTCTTCTGCCTCAGTTATTCTGCTATTGATTCCTTCAAGTGTATTCTTCATTTTAGTTATTGTATTGTTCATCTCTGTTTGTTCTTTAGTTCTTCTAGGTGTTTGTTCTTTAGTTCTTCTAGGTCTTTGTTAAACATTTCTTGCATCTGCTCAATCTTTGCCTCCATTCTTTGTCCGAGGTCCTGGATCATCTTCACTATCATTATTCTGAATTCTTTTTCTGGAAGGTTGCCTTATCTCCACTTTATTTAGTTGTTTTTCTGGGGTTTAATCTTCTTCCTTCATGTGGTACAAAGGCCTCTGCCTTTTCATTTTGTCTGTCTTACTGTGAATGTGGTTTTCCTTCCACAGGCTGCAGCATTGTAGTTCTTCTTGCTTCTGCTGTCTGCCCTCTACCTGCTTCTTTTTAGTCAGTTCTTGAGAATGTACTCCCTTTTATTTTTATTTTAAAAAGTACAGTAAAATTAGCTTTTTTTTCCCCTAATTATGTGAAAAATTCATGCTGTGTGGGGAAAAAAATTTAGGCAATGCAGAAAAGTATAGGAAGAAATTAAAATCACCTAAAATTCTACCACTCTGAGATCATCAGTTTTGAAGCTCATACCTTTAGCTAGCCTAAAGCATGAATACCCACAGAGTTAAATGATATTTTTATCATGGATCCCTTATCTCACTCCTGCTGCCTCAGGAAACCTCCTTGTCATACCCAGATGACCAGAATTCAGTCTTGTGTAAATCTTTTTGTATCTTTCTCCATGCTCATGTTTACTATCTGGACCTTTTCAGTGCATATATGTACATGCATGTATATGTATACTGGTAGTTTTCTCATTCTTTTTCATTAAATCCAGTCATAGTGTATATGTTTCCTGCATCTTGTTTTTCTCAGTTTCTGTTACATATTTATATTACCTCCCAAGCCAAGTATAACTCCCAAGTTTCAACTACAGTCGTTAACTCATTTTTAATAGACTGTAGTATTTCAGCTCAGTTTTATTCAACCAGTGGTAGATTTTAGCCTATTCTACTCTGAGATCTATTGGCATCTGTAGGAAACCTATGCTACCTTCTTTTTTGTTTTGTTTTGTTTTTGTTTTGTTTTGTGTGTGTGTTTTTTTGCGGTACGCGGGCCTCTCACTGCTGTGGCCTCTCCCGCTGCGGAGTACAGGCTCTGGATGCACAGGCCCAGTGGCCATGGCTCACGGGCCTAGCCGCTCCACAGCATGTGGGATCCTCCTGGACCGGGTCACGAACCTGTGTCCCCTGCATTGGCAGGCGGACTCTCAACCACTGTGCCACCAGGGAGCCCACCTATGCTACCTTTAAAACCCATGTCTAGAACCTCTGGTAGGAAAAGCATATTTTGTAGTAGGACATATCAAATCAAAGATACTGATTTTATGGTAGCAAGTGGTAAGGAAGCATTTGTATCATGGACTCTGGATGAGAGGTGCCTCCTGGGAGAAGAGGAAGCTCTAAGCCAGTGGCCAGGATTGGGTTTAGAATCTAGACTTACACTACCTACAGGCTTTGAAATTCCCAGCCTGAGAAATGAGCACAAAATTGGCCTTGGACTGTTGACACTTCTCAGGTAATTAGTAAAAGAAAAAGCAAAAGTGCCCTGGAGGAAGGGAAAGAATCAAGTATTTATCTTTCAGTTCTTGCATCAGTTGTATCTCAGCATAATTAAGCATTAGAACCCAACTAATAAGTGAAGAAATGAAGTAGAGATAATAGAATTAGGCTAGAGGCTGGCAGACTTTTTCCATAAAGGTCCAGTTATTAAATAATATGTTCAGGGCTTCCCTGGTGGCGCAGTGGTTAAGAATCCACCTGGTAATGCAGGGGAAATGGGTTCGAGCCCTGGTCCAGGAAGATCCCACATGCTGCGAAGCAAATAAGCCCGTGAGCCACAACTACTGAGCCTGCACTCTAGAGCCCGCGAGCCACAACTACTGAAGCCCACGCGCCTCGAACCCATGGTCCATAACAAAAGAAGCCACAGGAATGAGAAGCCCGCGCACCAAAACAAAGAGTAGCCCCCACCCACCGCATCTAGAGGAAGCCTGCGCATAGCAACGAAGACCCAACGCAGCCAAAACTAAATTAATTAATTTAAAAAAATTGATATGTTCGGTTTTTACAGGCCATACAGTCTCTGTAGCAACTGCTGAACTCACAAATGCGCATAGTTGTGTTCTAATAAAACTTTGTTTAAAAAGCAGACAGTGAGCCATAGTTTGCTGACTGATGCATTAGGCCAACAGTTTGAGCCCAACAGTTATTGTTTTCACTTGTTAGTTTTAATAATTCTAGGGAGTTTATGAAACACAACCCATATCACTTGTCATCTTCTAGTATAGATTCTTGCTAAATTCTTACTGGATTTCAAATCCTAAATTTATAGCTTCTGCACTGATTCTAAATGGATTATTTGGTGGGTGGGTATGTCTTTAGGATATGTAGATTTGGTGTTCCACTTCTTAGTTATATCTAAGTTATATCAGTTATATCAACAATATCACTTAAAATCATAAATAAACTAATATTGGTCTCGTGAAGTTTCAATGTTAGAGAATAATGTAATATATTCAAATTCTCATAACTTTAAAATAGTCATGTCTTATTACTATTAGAATAAAAATAAAAATTTAAATTATGAAATATGACTGACTTATGAGTTTACATATTTTAAGGCATTGCATTTATAAATTTAAGTAGAATGTACTTCTCAAAATGTATTCAAGACAGATGTGAGATATTTCAGAAGGTAACTTCTAAAGCATCATTTAGTGATTGCTAAATTTGCACACATACATCATTTAGTAATTGCTTCGAGTCTCCTGTCTATCCATGGTTTTGTCCCCACCCCCTGCAATTGTCAGCAGTTAAAAAACTTACTGATAACATATATTGAAAGATTGCTTTATCGGAAAGATAAATATAGGTTGACAGACTTTATATTTTTCTTCTCGCTACCTGTAGGAAGTATTTGAAAAGGAGCAGTCCATCTGTGCTGCAGAGGAACAGCCAGCAGAAGATGGGGTAAAAACTTCAGTTTTCCTATCTATCTTTCATGGTGAAATAACTGTTTTGTTTAGTTCTCTGATTGATTTATATTGCTGTGGGAGAGTAATTCACTTTACTACAACATTTATTAGTTTAGTCATTTCCATCTAAAATTTACTATGACTTCCAAATGAAACTAGTGCTACAACTTCTGAGTGTGCATGTGTGTTGTGATTTACAGCAGGGTGATACTAACAAGAACAGAACAAAAGGAGGATGGCAACAGAAGAGTAAAGGACCCAAGAAAACTGCTAAATCAAAAAAAAAGAAACCTTTAAAAAAAAAACCTACACCTGTGCCCTTATCACAACCAAAGCAACAGAAACAAAAGCAGGCTAATGGAGTCGTTGGGAGTGTAAGTTTATTATCTTATGTAAAGATTATTGTTATTATCATCTTTATTGAGGTCTAACATACACTAAAATGTTCAAATCTTTTTTTTTTTTTTTTTTTTTGCGCGGTACGTGGGCCTCTCACTGTTGTGGCCTCTCCCGTTGCGGAGCACAGGCTCCAGACACGCAGGCTCAGCGGCCATGGCTCACGGGCCCAGCCTCTCCGCGGCATGTGGGATCTTCCCAGACTGGGGCACGAACCCGTGTCCCCTGCATTGGCAGGCGGACTCTCAACCACTGCGCCACCAGGGAAGCCCCTAAAATGTTCAAATCTTATGTGTACAGCTCCTGAAGTTTTACAATTGTGTGTACCCATGATACCCAGATCAAGATATAAAACCTTACCAGCACCCTAAAAGGCTCTCTTGTACCCTTCTCAGTCAGTGACCCCTCCATCCACCCCCACGGCCTTCCCCACTATTCTGACTGTTAGGACCATAGATTAGTTTTGCCTGTTCTTAAAATTCCTGTAAGTGGAATTGTTTGGCTGCTTTCATTCAACATAGTGTCTTTGACATTCATCTGTACAGTGTGTAGCAGCAGCTGTGTGTGTGTGTGTGTGTGTGTGTGTGTGTGTGTGTGTGTGTTTCCTGTGTGTGGTTTTATTTACCTGATGACTAATGATATTGAGCACCTTTTCATGTACATACTGGCCATTTGGATATCCTCTTTTATTTTGGGGTTGTTTTTCTTCTTATGGATTTGTAGGATTCCTTTATGTATCCTGGATATGAGTCCCTTTTAGCTCTCTTAATGGAGCTTTTGATGGTTCTTAATTTTAATAAAGTCTGTTTCATCAGTCTTTATGGTTAGTGCTTTTGTGTCCTGTTAGAGACATCTTTGCCTATCCCAAGGACACAAGGAACGGAAGATATTTTTGTTTTCTTCTATGAGTATTATTATTTTACTTGTTAAATTTAGCTCTGTGTTATATCTTAAATTTTTGTGAATAGTGTGAGATTGGGATTAGGGACCACTTATTTTAGCACCATTTATTGGAAAGATCATTCTTTCCTCTCTGAATTGCAATAGTGATTTGTTGTAAAAAAGTTGCCATTAAGTGTATATGTGCAAATCTGTTTATGGACTTTCTAGTCCATTCCACTGATTATTTGTCTCTTTTTGTGCCAGTACCACACTGTCTTAATTATTGTGGCTTTATTTTAACTCTTAAAATATGGTCATGTAAGTCCTCAAACTCTTATTTTACTTCTTCAAAATTGTCTTGACTATTTTAGGTCCTTTGCATTTCCAGCTAAAATTTTAGAATAAGCTTGAGAATTTCCACCCAAAAAAAGCTGCTGGAATTCAGATTGGTATTGTGTTTACTCTGTGGTTCAGTATGGGAAGAATTCACAGGTTAACAGTATTGACTCTTTTTATTCATAATTATGCTTTATCTTTATTAACTGGATCTTCCTTAATTTTTCTCAGCGGTGTTTTGTGATTTCCATTGGCAGAGGATATGACACATCTTTCATTAGATTTACTCCTGTGTGTTTGATCCTTTCTAGTGCTATTGCAAATAACATTAAAAAAAATTCATTCTTCAGTGTTTATTGCTGGTGTATAGAAGTGTAGTTGCCTTCTAAATATTACCTTATATCAAGGATTCTTGATGAATTGACAGTAATTCTAACTATTTGTAGATATTTAAAGAAAAAGATTTTCTACATACACAATCATGCCATCTGGGAATAAAGACAGCTTTACTTTAATCTTTATGTGGTTTCTTCCTTTCTGCTTTACTGTACTGGCTAGAACTTTCAATGTAATGTTGATTAGAAGTAGAAGTGAAGATGGCAGTCACCCTTTTCTTATTGTTGATCTCATGGAGAAAGCAAACATTATTTCACCACTAAGTATGACATTAGGTATAGGGTTTTTATAGATATTCTCTATCAGGTTAAGGAGGTGATCCCTCTATTCCCAGTTTGGTTTTTTATCATGAGATGATTGTATGATTTTTCTCCTTTCTGTTAATGTGACTAATTATACTGATGAATTAAAAAAATTTAAACTGTCCTTGTATTCCTGGAACAAATCTCATTTGCTCATAACACAGTATTTTTAAAATATTTATCTGGATTTAGTAATATTTTGTTTAGGATTCCTGCATCTCTTTTTATGAGAGAATATTGGTTTGTCATTCTTCTTTCTTGTAATATTCTTGTGAGGTTTTGGATCACGTTTATGCTGGCCTCATTAAACAAGTTAGGGATTATTCTCTCTTTCTTTTTCCTGGAAGGGTGTATAAGATTGGGTTGTTTCTTATTTGGAAGAACTACCTAGAGAAGCCATATGGGCTTGGAGTTTGAAAAAGGATTTAATTGTAGAGTCCATTTATTTAACATATTCCACTTCTTTTCTTATATCAGTTTTAGTAAATTGTTTTTTTCAAGGACTTTGTCCATTTCCTCTAAGTTGTCAAATTTATTGACAGATTTGATAATATCCTTATTTTTAATGTCTTTTGGATCTGTAGTTATGTCTCTTTTATTCCTAATATTGGTAATCTGTATTGTCTCTTTTTTTCTTTGATCAGTCTTGCCTAATTTATCAATTTTATTAATCTTTTTAAAGAACCAATGTTTGGTTTTGTTTGGGTTTCCCTTTTGCATATCTGCTTTCTCTTTAATTGATTTCTGATCTGTATTATTCACTACTACTTTCTTTGCATTTAATTTGCTATTCTTTTTCTTGCTTCTTGAAATGGATTTTGTCTGGGACAGTGACTTTCCTTACTGCATTATACTCCTTATTGAAGATGATATTAAATTCCCAAAGCAGTACTATAAACTTCTCATTTCTCCTTCTCAAATAAAATATATTGTATAATTGGTGTTTGTGAAAGATGAGCCATCTTAGCCATTGTGGTAGTATATTTTGTGAATAGAAATAAAATATTTTTGTTTTACAAACTATGAAGACTGAATAAAATAACTGACAAAAAGACAGATAAGCCAAATGTTAAAAGTCTTCAGTCTGACTCCCACATATTTATACATAAAAATGTTTATAGTTCTCTAAAATTCTGCACGAATAGTGAAATTGTAATCTTGAGCCAGTTTAATTATAATGACAGTAAATTAGTTTCAGGGACTCAGAATGGTATATTCATTGAGATATTCAGAGCTTTTGTGGTTGCTTTTTCCTTTTAGGAAGCTGCAGTAAAGGAAGATGAAGAAGAAGTTTCTGACAAAGGCAGTGACTCTGAGGAAGAAGAAACCAATAGAGACTCTCAAAGTGAAAAAGATGATGGTAGTGACAGAGACTCTGATAGAGAGCAAGATGAAAAACAAAACAAGGATGATGAAGCAGTAAGACTTATAAGTTTAAATAATTGGAATTATACCTCTGGTGATAGTTTTGGTTTCTGTTGTTGTTTTTCCTTTGCTTGCTTACTTTTTTTGCTTGTCTTAAGCAATACCAGTATATTTTATAATCTTATATTACTTTTACAGAATGTTTTTGAGGGATGGTAGTTGTAATTATAAAGAAAAATTATTTCTAACAAGATTGGAAATCCTAATTTTCTTAAATCTTAAATTGTTAGATGGGATAGGACCTGGGTCTGAGGTAAAGTCAGTTTGTTCTCTTAAGGCAATTTTCTGTGTTATCTGGAAATATGAGTAAGGAAAGGTGGATTATGAAATAGGTAGCAGTTACTTGGAAGAGGATCTCAAAAGTTCCAGGAAATGTTTAGGGTGAAGAAACATTACTGTGGGCTGTAACGCCAAGAAGTTGGTTAAGGTAAAAGCTAACATTTACGGAATGCCACCTCGTTTCAAGAGGTATATAAGACATTAAGGAAAGGGCTGTCACTAAGGAATTAAGATTGTGAGGGTAAAGGGAATAGAAAAAAATCTCGTGGCATGGCATTAAGTTGCACATGATTTATGAGAAAGCTGTAGAAAAGAATATTTGGTGGACAAATAATGGTCCTTAGAGGCTAACTGTAAATTAACTGTAACCTGATCAGCCATTTTCTTTATGTTTGTGGTGTTCTTGACTGGGCCATTGATCAAAAGTAACCCTTATGGTTTAGGAATTTAAAAGAGATTCCCTGAACAGCCTCTGAAGCAAAAGCAGAGGCCAAAAAAAGGAAAAAGTAAAAGGGCAAAGGATAAAGGTATACAGAAATAATGTACTTGCCCTTGGGAATGGTGGGAGAAAAATAAGGATGACTGTTTTTAGCAGTTGCTGGCCCTTGAGTGTTTTTGTACTTTGATAATTAAGTTGATTGCCAGGAAATTAAAACCTATCAAAGAAATTATTCCCCCACCCTTGTTTTGAGAAAGAGTTGACATATTTCTTTCTGACAGTGTTAGTAGAGGTGACTAGGTTAGTAGGGTTTTGATAAACTAGTTTCTTCAGATGACCAAAAAATACGTTCATTCAATTGACAAATAATTATACAAATAACAAATAATTACTCATTATCTGTCACACTGCAAGCACTGTGTTGGATGACAGGAATGCAAAGCCAAATGTGCAATAGTTTCTGCCCTTGAATGATAGTAGCCTGATGGAGAAGGCAGACTTGTAAGTAAGCATTATAGTACCAAAGAGACTATGCACGTTTTGCAAGGGGCAGTGATGCCACAAAGGAAGGAGTGATCAACTCAGCTCTGGGGTAGAGGACGATCTGTGGGACTCAGGAACTCATACTTTAGACTTTAGCTGCTCCTGAAAGAATAATGAGTAGGAATTTAACAGGTAGAGAAAAAAGAAAACAAAAATCTAAACAGGGTTTAGGAGGAGTGAAATAGCTGGTGAGGTCAGAGAAGGCTAGGCGGTTGGAAATGACTAGAAGAAAAAGTGCAGGGAGGAAAACAGTGACAGGAGACTGGAGAGACAGGTCCAGATCAGGTCATGATTGGCTGTGTAGTTCATACTAGACGGGTTAGAGTTGATTTATGAAAAGAAGCATTGTAAGTCTGGGGCAGGGAAATGATCAGATTTGTGGGTCTGAACTCAGTAGTAGTTAGCATTGTCAGGAATAACATCGGGAAGAAGACGGACACCCCTCAAAATGATTGAAAACATGCTTGATTTCAAAGATTTAATTTTCACTTTACAGGAGTGGCAAGAATTACAACAAAGTATACAGCGAAAGGAGCGAGCTCTGCTGGAAACCAAATCGAAGATAACACATCCTGTTTATAGTCTTTACTTTCCTGAGGTGAGTTATACACAGCCTAGTGTTTTCCTTATTCTCTGCAGATATTTCTTATTTGCTTTTTATCTCTCTGTGGTGTGTATTGGCTCAAATGTGCTGAATGTGGTCTATTCTTGATAGACCACATTTTTGAAGGCTATATTTCAACGTAAATCATTTTTAGTGAATGTGTTGTTTAAAAGGAGGGTTGTTAACTTTTTAAGTACTTCTGTCTTTTCTGCACCCAGATTACTGAGAGTTGTGCTTAATGATGATTTTTCATTAGCAGTTCAGGCAGTCCTAGTTGGACAAATGCATATTTTGCCTATGACTGTATGGCTGTTATGAATCTCACAATTCTGTCATGTTTTAAATAGGATGAAAATGTTCTTAAATTTTCCCCATGGTTTTTCTCTGAGGGTTCTCTACTGGCCACCTGTAGCCACTAGACTTGCTCCGATAATTGCCCTGGTCCATGGGAAGAGGCAAGCCCATGGCTGAGGGACCCACTAAGTTCAGTAGGAGCCGAGCCCCAAGCTCAGCACAGATCATGGCAGTGCTGTTTGTTCCCTTGTGCTTGTTTATGTTGTGACTGTGGCCTGTTCAACTTTTGATCTCTTTGATACGCTATGTTGTTTGTCTTTCAGATGAATTTGGGATCTGCTTGATGTATTGCATTTGTGGATGATTTTGTCTGTGGCTAGAGATCAAGGACTGGTTGCCTCTTAGTTTAGCGAAGCTGTTCTGTAGACTGCCTTGCAGCTTTGCCACAGAACCTTGTGCTTACCACTCATGTTTGGCAGGTGATTTCATGTATAAATCTGCTTTCTGCTCTAGAACATCAATCTCTAGTTGTTGGGGGCTGCTGAAGGCAAATTCCTAAGTGATTTGGCTCTCCTAATAATAAATGAGTGGCTCTGCACAGACTTTTGTTTTGACTTGGAGAGAAGTCAGCCCAGGATTCCATCTTACTGTGTGCACTGATCTTCTGGCATGTCCTGAGCTATAGCCCATCTGTTAGGGGCATTTTGCCCATTGCAGTGTAGTCTGCCAACACCAAAGCTCCTGAAATCAAGCGAATAAATTCCACTCATTGGTTGGTTTTAAAAGTACTATGGGGGCTTCCCTGGTGGCGCAGTGGTTGAGAGTCTGCCTGCCGATGCTGGGGACATGGGTTCGTGCCCCGATCCGGGAAGATCCCACATGCCGCGGAGCAGCTGGGCCCGTGAGCCATGGCCGTTGAGCCTGCGCGTCCAGAGCCTGTGCTCCGCAACGGGAGAGGCCACAACAGTGAGAGGCCCGCGTACCGCAAAAAAAAAGAGGTACCATGGGATGCTGTAAGCTGCATAATTTGTACCCTTATAATAGACAGCTTCATTTTAGACCATGCTTAGTTAATAAGCAAAGCATTCATTTACTCCCTTAGAACATTTTAGCAGTGAAAATGCCTTCTTGTAATTTCATCTACATGGTAAATATCTCAAAGTGTCATTTATCAGATAAACTTTATTTAGGATTTTCCTAACATCTACCTGTCTACCTTCCCATGTACCTAACCACCATACTACCCACTTAAATTACTTAAAGTTTTATGTTAATAATTGACTTACATGTTAATTGCAGCTCATATGTTTAATAAGTTAAGAATGGTTGGGAATCTCACACAACAGAAACAGTTTTGTTTAAAGTGCAAATAACTCATGGTAGAACATCTTTTCCACTTTCACCATGTGCATCAAGAGAGCGTAGGTGCAGTGCCATAGATTGATAGTCACTAGCTTCTTTTTTTTTTTTTACACAACAAATCTGCTCTTTTTTTTTTTTTTATTTTCTTTTATTTATTTATTTATTTAGGCTGCATTGGGTCTTTGTTGCTGTACGCAGGCTTTCTCTAGTTGCGGCGAGCAGGGACTACTCTCTGTTGAGTTGGGCTTCTCATTGCTGTGACTTCCCTTGATGCGGAGAACGAGCTTTAGACACGTGGGCCTCAGTAGTTGTGGCTCGCAGGCTCTAGAGCGCAGGCTCAGTAGTTGTGCGCATGGTCTTAGTTGCTCCACCGCATGTGGGATTTTCCCAGACCAGGGCTCAAACCTGTGTCCCCTGCACTGGCAGGTGGATTCTTAACCACTGTGCCACCAGGGAAGTCCCAGATAGTCACTAGCTTCTTAATAAATAGTATTCTTGAGTGAATCTCATTTTAATCAAATAGCGTGCGTGGGGGGTGGAGGGTGGGAGGCATTCTCTAAGTGGAGATAAAGAATAAATGCACATTTTGAATATACCCCTCTGCTTCTCATATCAATACATGTTCTGGTAATGATATTTCTGATAATGAAATGTCAGACCACTTAAATAGTAGAGATGTTTACCTCATTTCATTAATAATCATAACTTTAAAAATTATTATTGATATATAGTTGAAATACAACATCACATTAGTTTCAGGTATACCATATAGTGAGTTGACATTTGCATTCATTATGAAATGGTCACCACAATAAGTCTAGTAACCATCTGTTCCCATACAGAGTTATTCCAATATTATTGATCATATTCCTTATGCTGTATATTACATCCCCATGGCTTATTTATTTTATAACTAGAGGTTTGTACTTCTTAATCTCCTTCACTTATTTCTCCCGCTACCCCCACCCCTCTGGCAACTACCGGTTTGTTCTCTATATCTGTGAGTCTGTTTTCATTTTGTTTTGTTTTTTAGATTCTACAAATTAGTGAGATCATATGGTATTTGTCTTTCTCTCACTTCACTTAACATGATATCCTCTAGGTCCATCCACATTGTTTCAAATGTCAAGATTTCGATTCTTTTTTTATGGCTAAGTAATATTCCATTGTATATATGTACCACATCTTCTTTGTCCATTCATCCATCAATGGATACTTCAGTTGCTACCATATCTTGACTACTGTAAATAATGATGAGGTGAATTGCTGTGTACATACCCTTTCAAATTAGCAACTTTGTTTTCTTGGGGTAAATTGCCAGAAGTGAAATTGCTGAATCATATGGTAGTTGTATTTTTAATTTTTTGAGGATCCTCCATACTGTTTTCCATAGTGGCTATATAAATGTAACTGTAATTTTATTGTGCTCTGTGTCCTAGGCAGTTTAACAGATATTTTATTTGTATTATCTCGGTTTATCTTCACAACACAGTGTGAGGTAGGCATTCATTACTTAACAGAGAAAAAAGTGAGGTTTAGAGAAGTGAAATAATCAGGTCTGGATGGCTTTAAAACAGGCATTGGCAAACTACTGTCTACAGACAAATCTGCCTCCTGGCCTGTTTTGTAAATGAAGTTTTATTGGAACAGAGTCACACTCATTCCTTTTGCAATACAGTGGCAGAGTTGAGTAGTTGCAACAGAGACTCTTTGGCTCACAAAGGCCAGATGTTTATACAGTTGGCCCTCGGTGTCTGTGGGTTCTGCATCTGCAAATACAGAGGGCCAACTGTACCATGACACTTTATGTAAGAGACTTTAGCATCTATGAATTTTGGTATCCTGGAGGTGGCGTGGTCCTGGAACCAATCTCCTGTGAGGTACAACTGAACTCTATTTTGAGTCTGTTATGTTTTACCCATTTTGTGTGTGCAAAACACTCATAGACGAACATATATATACTCATATACCTGTTGTGGTAGTCTTAACCCTTGGGTTGAGCAGAAGTTGGGTTAATCATGCACTTGTGATCTGTTATTCTGCTTATTAATGTTGCAGTGCCTTGTAGTTTAAGGCATTTAAACAGAAACTTTTAGCTGAACTTAGTGTAGCATTATTAGAAAGATAATAAAACAAATTTTAATATCTTAGGATTGAAATGCAATAGAAAGTGCAAGTGTTTTTGGCTTAGAAACAAACATTTTTCCTACGAAACTATTTTCAGTAAAAGTTATTTTTTTTAACCTTCTTTTGGATAATTGAGACTTTAGAATAGTCTATTGTTTTTTTGGTTGATATTTGGAATATCCTAGAGTTTATTTTTAGCTACAAAACTTTTTTTTTTTTTAAAGCCATTTTAGAAAGATATTGTCTCTATCCAGTTCTTAAACAGTGGATGCGAAGAAGATGACTGTTTAGTTACTGACCTGTGCTGTAATACAGTGATAGTTGCTGGGCACACTGAAGTTTTGTACTTCCAGACTAGTCTTCTAATTTTTGTTTTAATAGATTTTTGTCTCCTGTCAGTGCTCTCTGCTACCATTGTGCATTCTGGTGGCAATTTTTTTACCCAGCTCTTTTTCTGGTCCTAATCTTTTATGAAGTACAACTAAAAATGCTGAGCTTATTAAAATCATGTGCAGTAAAAGGTAGGCTCTTTTACTAACAGGCTCTTAGAATCTGAGATGCTCTCTTATGAGTAATGTGTTTTAATATATTAATTTCTGATATTGTTGTAAGTCCGTTCCATTCCTACTTTCTGGCTTTTGCTTATTACTAGGTAACATTACTAAGATTATTTGCTAAATGATATTGTAATAGTTCATACTGTTTTCTTTTTTAGCATATCTTTTGTCATTTACAATTAATCGGGTTTTTAATACAGAGGTTCATCAATAGCGTTTAAGGGGCCATTTGAAACACCAAACTTACATACAAAAGTGTTGTGGAGAGCAGATCTACAAATGGTTAAGAACAATTTATTCATTCAGTAAATATTTATTGACATCTATTTTGTACCAGGCACTGAGTCTGTGCTGGGGATACAGCAACGAATAAAACAAGGAAAATACAGTTGGCCCTCTGCATCTGTGGGTTTTGCATCCATGAATTTGACCAACTATGGATTGAAAATGTTAGGGGGGTACATTCCAGAAAGTTCCAAAAGGCAAAACTTGAATTTGCTGGGTACTGGCATAGCATTTACGTTGTATTAGATATTGTAAGTAATCTAGAGATGAAACAAATCATATGCAAATACGACACCAGTTTATATAAAGGCTGTGAGCATTCATGGATTTTGGTGTCCACATTGTGGGTGTGGGGGGGCGTGTCTGGAACCAGTCCCCCTCAGGTACCAAGGGATAACCATACTGCTAAAATGAGACAAGGCAAAATTGTATTTCTCTAACTCTTTTTGGTTATTTATATTTATTTTTCTTTGCAGGAAAAACAAGAATGGTGGTGGCTTTATATCGCAGATAGGAAGGAACAGACATTAATATCTATGCCATATCATGTGTGCACACTAAAAGATATGGAAGAGGTAATTATCCAACAACATTATTTAAATATAGAAAACAGTGTAGAAATCAGTTTATCATATTTGGCTTATTACATTTTATAACTATTCTCTGACATATTTTGGAGGGAGCTCATTGGAAATTTATAAAGTACTGAACTACAACTTGGTAGTCTTCTAAAACCTTGTTCTCAACTTATTTTGGGGAGTTTTCACTGTTACTATCTAAGAACACATGCCTTACCTTATCTCCAGAATTTAATTATGTTTTACAAAAATTTATTATTTTTATCCTCTTTGGGTTAGTGCTCAGATATATACCTTTTGTCTTAAAAAACAAATATAAGAACTGGTGATTCGTTTTTTAGAGTGGAATTTTTTGTTACATTGCTTTGTCCGCTGTCAGTGACATCAGTAATATAGCTTTGTGATGAACATATTTTGCCCTTGGATTTTCTTGTTTTTCTTCTTGATTTTTTATGTTATTTTTCTAGGAAGAAGTTCTGTCTACCCAGACTTGGTGGACAAGAGCAAGGCTTTGAATTTCAAGATCTATGATGATGATTTTTAATCCAAAAAGTTTTTTCCCACCTTTCTAACCAAGTCGTACATGTATGAAGTAGTTTCTTGTTTATTTGACACTTAGAGTTGGTACCAACTTAAGGGTATTTTTGAGAGTAATTTTAACATTTTTTGTGTGTGTGTGCGGTATGTGGGCCTCTCACTGTTGCGGCCTCTCCCGTTGCGGAGCACAGGCTCCGGACGCACAGGCTCAGCGGCCATGGCTCACGGGCCCAGCCGCTCCGCGGCATGTGGGATCTTCCCGGACCAGGGCTCGAACCCGTGTCCCCTGCATTGGCAGGCAGACTCCCAACCACTGCGCCACCAGGGAAGTCCCAGCCATTGATATTTTTGAAGAGTCCAGGCAAGGTATTTTATAGAATATCCCTTAATCTGAATTTGTCTTATTGGTTACTCACGCTTATATTCTTCTCAAATATTTTTGGCAAAAATACTGCGTACGTGATGTAATAACCTTCTTAGTGCATCACATCAGGGGCACATTATATTAGTTTGCCTGATATTGGTGATATATGATGGTTGATCATTTAGTTAAGTCTTTTCTCTGTTGTAAAAAGTGTGTCTTCCTCCAATCTGTGGGGTGATACTTGGACACTATGTGAATACCCTGTTCTCCAACAGTCTTTAACCCACTCATTTTAGCATATGTTGATGATTCTTGCCTGAATCAATTTTTACTATGCTGGCTGTATTCAATGTAGTTTAATTTTATATTTCTCTTAAGAGGGAAACTGTACATCTTTCAGTGTGTTTGAATCATATTTCTTTGTGTGTCTGTGACCGTCGTGCATTTTTGTTGGGTTATATTGGTCTTTTAAATTGGTTTTGGGACTTTATTTTTGTTTAAATATTATGAAATCAGCCCTTTGTGATGTGTGTTGCAGATATTTCTCCCCAGTTTGTTGTACTATTGTGGCTGTTTTTATCAAGCAAAAATAGAAATATTTACTCATTTGTTTATCCATTGGTTTATCTGGGTGTTTGATGGTATGATTTAGTAGTCTTTTTCTTTTATGATTTGTAGGTTTGATGTTATAGTTAGAGGGGCCAAACTTTGAGATTAATTAAAAAAAAAATTCTCCCATGATGTTTTCTAGCTTGTTTGTTTTTTTTATAAATTTATTTATTTTATTTATTTATTTTTGGCTGTGTTGGGTCTTCGTTGCTGGGCGCGGGCTTTCTTTAGTTGCGGTGAACGGGAGCTACTCTCCGTTGTGGTCACGGGCTTCTCATTGCGGTGGCTTCTCTTGTTGCGGAGCATGGGCTCTAGGCACACGGGCTTCAGTAGTTGTGGCATGCGGGCTCAGTAGTTGTGGCTTGCGGGCTCTAGAGCGCAGGCTCAGTAGTTCTGGCGCACAGGCTTAGTTGCTCCGCAGCATGTAGGATCTTCCCGGACCAGGGTTTGAACCCGTGTCCCCTGCATTGGCAGGCGGATTCTTAACCACTGCGCCACCAAGGAAGCCCTAGCTTGTTTGTTTTAATGGCAAATTTTAATATATAATCTTGCCAACAAAATCTGGATTTTGGAAAGTGGAGGCAGATTACCAGAACATCTAAATGTCATCATAAAAATGTATTCTTCCTTTGTCCAAGTGGAGTAGAAACTTCTAAGAGTTCGTAAATGTTTGTATTTGAAGTTTATTAGTATATGATAGGAAATAACGTATCTTTTTGACCTTGTAAGGCATTGGACATCTGTAAAGAAAAAAACGTACTTCTCCCATGTGTTTCTCCTTTACTCTAACACTACTGCCACACTCTCAACACTTCTGATACCAGTTTGTGGGCTTTTCCCCACACCAAGCAATTCGCTGTGACACCAGCTGAGTGTCCTGTGGTTTAACTCAGTGCTGACACTGTCTACCTGGATATCTACCTCAGGTTAAGGGTTCAGTCCCACAAGACTGCTGTTCCCCTGCTCTCCATCTTTAGATGCTAGTCACAAGTGCCAGGTTGTCACCTATACTTCTGACCAACTGGCTGTAAATCGTGGTTCCCATGATCCCCCTCCTTGGGTTCAATAATTTGCTAGAATGGCTCACAGAATTCAGGGAAACATATTTACCAGTTTATTATGAAAATAATATGATAAAGGATATAGATGAATATCCAGATGGAAGAAATACCTAGGGCAGGGTATGTGGGAAGGGGCATGGAGCTTCCGTGCTCTTTCTGAGCAATCCACTCTCCCAGCACCTGCACATGTTCACCAACTCGGAAGCTTCCAGAACCCCTACTTCGGGGATTTTTATGGAGGCTTTATCACAAAGGCATAATTGATCATTAATTCAGTTTCCAGCCCTTCTCTGGAGACTGGGGGCGTGGGACTAAAAGTTCTAAGCCTCTCATCATGGTTTGGGCTTTCTGGTGACCAGTCCTCATCTAGAGCCAAGAGCCACCTCATTAGAAGAGAACTCATTCTTATCCAGGAAATTCCAAGGGATTTATAAGCTCAGTGTCAGGAACCAGAGTCAAAGACCAAATATTAGAACAAAAGATGCTCCTTGTGCTCTTATCACTTAGGAAATTACAGGGGTTTGAGGAGCTCTTTACCTGGAACTGAGGGCAGAGACCAATGTATATATTTTCTATTATCTCACAGCATTTGTCGTAGAAATAAGAAAATTTGGCAAGAACTCTTTCGTCTCTGGTGAAGTCTATTTTAGTCCATTTCATTTATTTTACTTTTATACCCAACTTAATTTCTTCAAGTTGTCAAGATGTGATGGTCAACATAGAACTTAGTTGCTTTAAATATGCTTTCTTGAATTGTGGAGATAGAAATTAACCCCATCAATTCTGCCTCTTTTTGTTTTCTTTTTGTATAGTATATATATGACATAAACGTCATATATGTGTGTATTTGTTGTTGTTAGAACTTTTGTAACATTTATTAGGACCTCCTGTGTCATCTGAGTAAACCCTAGCTATTAAATACTCTGGTCTAAATATTTTAGGAGTGAGCTGTTGTTTCTTCCACTCCTCAAAATATAGATTTTAAGTGCTGATTTTATATTCTAGGTAGAACTGAAGTTTCCTGCACCAGGAAAGCCTGGAAATTATCAATATACAGTGTTTCTAAGATCAGACTCCTATATGGGTTTGGATCAGATTAAACCATTGAAGGTAAGAATAATGACTATGCATTGCATATGGTTGTCTATTTGAATAAGTGCTTAATATACTGGGGAAGGTTTTCTAGTTTTGAAATGTAGAATAATAGAAAAAGAGGTCATCTCATACTTTTAGGTAATATACTTGATGGACTACTCTTTCAATAATAAACAAGTTGTATTAACAGTGTAATGATTTAGAACCTTGAGTATAACTTACGTGATACATTTTAATGTGCTGTAATATGCTGTAACTTTACAGGGCCTCACCAAATGGGTTCTGTTTTCTTTAAAAAGCACATGTGTTTTCCCACAGATTCCATTGTAGTGTTTATTGATTTCCAAAACTAATTTGTTTTTGATCATTTTAGAGTATACATTTGTGTATCATTTGAAGCACACTCCCATCAGAGCTTTTTATAAGAGGCATGCTACTGTGTTAGAGAGATTGTGCTGAAGAAATATTGTTGCACTGTATACTGGAGACCTAAGAGAAGGGAGCCAGCAAAGACATACCTTTTTTTCCCCCACGAGAATACTGTATTTCTTTCCATTGGCTGTAGAATGTTACTTCATGAGGCTGGAGGCTGCAAATACCTCTTTGGAAGTCACACTTGAGTTTTTCTTCATCAGCAGAAGACTTATTAAGACATTACTCAGTGTTCTCACTCAAGAATCACAATTATTCATCTTTCATGCCACAGGATAAATAGTATAAGCTCCTAAAATCAAACTACATTAGAAATTTAACTATACTTACGTGTTAGTAGATTCACCTTTTTATTTCTGGGATGAATATCTGTTCTAAGTATGTTAAATTTAGAGTTAAAAGCATAAAATCTATTTCTTTATAATTGCTGCAGTCAAAGAAACCTTTTCTTTACCAGGTATTTCTCCCATTATTCCTCCCCAAGTTTCTGAAGTCTACATTTAATTCTTTTTTATAGTTGGAAGTTCATGAGGCTAAGCCTGTGCCAGAAAATCACCCACAGTGGGATACAGCAGTAGAGGGGGATGAAGACCAGGAGGACAGCGAGGGCTTTGAAGATAGCTTTGAGGAAGAGGAAGAAGAGGAGGAAGATGATGACTAAGCAGTACTATGAATGGACCACAGTATTTGCACATATTTGCAAATTTTTGCTGTTTTGGAAGTGTGTAATAAACCAGAAACAGTGCAGAACTGATGTTGAAGGAGGTGTTAGTTCTTTACTAGAAATGGGTGCATAATATATCTAGGCAGTGGTGGTGCCTTGGTACAGTCTGAAAAATGCTTAAGGCTTGTGAAAGCCTTTCAGGTATGGGATGGTGCATTTATTTCATCTGCAAATGATAATAAACCCTTTGTTATAACTGTCCAGAAGTGTGGGCTATGTATTATCTGATCATTTATGGTCCCAGTGAAAGTAAAGGTACATGAAAAACAGTCTATAAATGAGCGACTTTTCTTTGTTTAGCTTTAGTTTTAACAAACGTTAAAGTATGGTAAACACCACAAATGTTTTAAGTAACATCTGCTCAAGTTTTAATGTCTTGGTAAGCTCTATTCACTTATTGACATTTTGCAGTGATACAAGCGTATTTATAACAGCTCCATTCATAGCTTTAAACATTTTATTTTTGCCTATCTTGGTCGTAAGTTGGCATTCTGTCACATTCCACATAATATAGAGGGCTACATTTTGGGATTTTCCTTCTTTTAATTGCCCAGAGTTATCAGATTATAAAAATGGCTTTTAATGGCTTAAAACATTTTTAAGCCTCTATTTTAGCAGATCAATACAGGATCTAATTCCTTTTATAAGCTGTAGATCTAAAAATGATTGTGGGACCATATGTTCTCTGATATTGGTGACTTATGTTATTAAACCTTTTTTAAAAGGTTCATTATAAAAGCTGAAATACATTCTTAGCTTTTAATCTACCTGACTCTATCAGAAGCCTTTTAAGGAAAAATATAACATGCAAACGAGGCATTTTTTTGTATTCATTTTGGACTCCTGTCAATAAAATAGAAGTTTGACTCATTTTACGTTTGTAATGGTGTGTCTTTTTACTCCCAGAAAGGGATATGATAGGATAACTCATTCTTTTATTTTTCAACTAAAAATTTAATAATAATATACATGACTGCTGATGTGATTGCTATTTCTGTATACTATAGAAAAACCCATGATTGGGAAGAATTTTCCCCTCACACTCTCACACAGTACAACCTGGAAGGGAGTGCGTATAAAGAGCAGAAATGTGTACATGCTGAGTTATTGAGGTATTACTAGATACGGAGGAAGCATGTCTCTATTATAGGACTGATTATAATAATCCTCTCCTATCAAAATCTCCACAGACCAAAGTACTCTTGGAATACTAATTTGTGACCTTCTTTACTTAGAAGGTTGTCACTTTCCATGCAGAATTACCACTGGTATTTTGTTACTGCAGTAGTTGGAAATAAAATTTGAAACTTAACCAAAAACATGAATGGGGGGGTTTTTGGGTTCTAAATTTAGGATGTAATATTTCCTATAATACGATCAAAGCAATTTTTTCACTGGAACCTCCATCACCTATTTTTCTTTTAAAGGTGTTAGTGAGACCCTTCCTTGGGAAGCAGAAGCGCCACTGAGGATTTGTTTCATTTTATAAGTAGAGGGTGGGTTTAATTTTCGAGTCAGGTTTTGCTGGGAAGCTGCTGGCCACCTAAGTGAGGTGGAGGAGAGTGAGCCAGCCTGTAGCATCCAGTGAAAGGAGAGGTTAGAGAAAACGCAGGTGGCATGAAGGCAAGGAAAGCGAGCAAATGAAACAGTGTGTAGTATGCGCACTCCTGGTTTTCTTGAAAGATACTTTTCAAGAGAAGTATTTCTATTCTAGTGGCTATTTTGTCTTAAAGAGGCTTTGTAAGTTATTCAAACTGGCTTCTTTCTGATTTTAAGGCTAGAGGATGGTTTTACAACCCAGTAACTCACCACAGTGCTTAAAAAAACAGCATCACCTCATTAGGAAACCCTACTAGCCTGTTTTCCTTTGCCATTTGTGTGATATATGTGTACTTCCTAACCAAATAATACATTTGCTTCTAATGAGCTCTTTCCATATTGCAATAGTGAAAGAACTGAGCTTTCATTTTATAGTTCTCATCTTTCCAGCAAGTCTCTGAATTCTACATCCCTTCTTTCTTTCTCTATTATTGAGATTTAATAACTAATTTACCCTGGTTTGCATTTAATCAAATGGAAACTTTCACTGAGTGCAGTTTCAGTTTTGTTCCCATCAAGAAACACTGACGTTTTGTCAACAGAATAGATGAATATATAGGCGAAAACATTCAGTGTGCATATACAAAGTGAAACTGGTTATTTATGAAATTAAGCTACTTAAATTGTATAATATTTTTCTCTTTAAATTGATAAAGTACCTATTAAAACAAAAGGTACTCGTCCAGAGGAGACCACAATTGAAAGTCTTTCAGTTGTAAAGTTTTGTGTTATGAAACTTGATTTAGGCCCCATGTGCATATCTCAGTCTTGAAGTCAGGTGTTCATGTCCTTTAAAATTAAAAAAAAAAGTTCGTGAATATTTTTTAAAAATTGAGTACATTGAATAAGGTTTTCTGTGTAGAACATTACTGTATTTCTCCCAGCTTGCACTGAGGGGTGCAGAAGGATGCTGAGCCTGTCTGGCTGCAGGGCTCCACTGCGAGGTGGAAGCTCAGGCCCTGAGTGGAAACAGAGTGGGTGGACACCAATGGACTGATGTGGAAAAAGGGAGCAAGGGTGTTGAGGAATGTGATGAGGTTCTCTGAGCATATAATTCTCGACCATAATATTTATCCAGTTATTCACTTCAGCCAATCAAAACCAGATACTGGAGTGGCCTTTAGCAACAATTGTTACTTCAAATGCAATTCAGCAAGCACTTCGCATATTTTTTGAGGGGTTGTTCATCATCACATATTTACTGAGTTTCAGTGTGGCTGGGTCTGTGATTGGACACTGGGGCTGTAAAAAGCAAAGAATTTGTGTTCTTAATGACTCATAGGTATTAGGGCAGGCAGATTTGTGGCAGTCTGTTTTAATCCATTTGCATTGGCTAATGACCATTGTTTGGAATGCCTTTTTTAGTTTGTCTTTCCACTGTAGGCAGAGGAGTTTTTTAAGGTGCTAGCTACTTGTTGGCTTAAAAAAAGAAAAAGGCAAACCTTCATCCTTTATTATTAAGTGTTTCTTTAAAGCATTTTCCTCCCCAAATATTCTTATTCAACTCCATGAAATCCCCTATTTAATCTGCCTTATAGTAACTGAAACAGCTATCAGTGAACCATAATGTGACATTTTACCTACCAGCTGTGCAGTGATTAGCCCAAATATGTCTTAAAAAGTTAGCATCAAGCATCTTCACACATTTAAACTTGATGCTAGAGCTATTTTGCAAAACTAAAAAAAAGCTGTGATCTTGTACATTTTTCTGTAACTTGAGCTAAAAATTCAAGTCTAGCAATCATTGGCCTGCTTTAGGGCTGTGGCTTCAGGTGGGGGCGTGTACCTCCCAGGAATATGCAGGTAATCAGTCCACTGGGAAAATGTTAAAGCAGTTGTTTGTATTTAATCTCAGCCTTTTAAATTTCTATTTTTGTGTGTTTTATAATGTACATAATATATTGTACAATTGTACACTTCTATAATTTGTAAATAAATAATACATTTATTGGTGCATTATACATTCTTTTCTGATTTCAATGCATGATCAAAATATTTGCATATGCTGCTTTGAAATGTTGATATACCGCCATTTAAGCAAAAATGAAGGTTTGGACCTTTGGCACTCACCATTTGAGTTCACAAAATGATGCTACTCTGCTGGAATTGAAGGGTTGGCATTCACTGTGTAGCAAAGTGATATTTTTTGAGGTGGAACTGAGTAGGTTTGGTGATGGGGTTAATACATGAGGGGAGGGTTCTAAGCAGCTGTTGTCCATGGAAAGAAAGTGTGACAGGTGAGGGCGGAAGTGCTAGGTGTGGCTTCCAGGGACTTCCAGCAAAGTCTACAGCTCTGTTAGTGGTCCCTGCAGTCAGTGGCTGCTACAAATTACAGGTGAGCATGAGAAGGACTGTCCACTCTTTTCGGCACTAGATGGTCCAGCATTAACCTGCCAGGCTGGGTTACTGGAAACCTGAAGTGTACACTTTAAAATCTGGATAATTATGAGCAGATTCCATAAAGAACTTTAAAACTATTTCCCTGTAGTTTCTAGCCTGGTTCCGGTAGAGGGCGATAGGGCTATGATTTTCTTTAGCAAAGAATGGTTTAGTTTGTGACACAAAGAACCAAAATTAAAGACATGACTGTGTAATTTATTTCTATCGCCACCTTCTAGGCTTACCTCCTTCCCTTTAATGTTTTGTATTCCTGTCTAACCCTAGCCTTTATTACATGTGTCCTTTAATATATTAAATTTACTTCTCGGTTTTCTGGCTAGAAACATTAAGCCCCTTTGCAACAAACTCCCAAAGACAATCCACGTCTGTTAATACAAATGTATTAGATTGCTTGAGAGAGGTGGAAGTCAGGTAGGACAAAAAAAATCCTTTTATTCTACAAAATTAATTTTTGGATGGTAGATGTCAAAAACTATTGAAGGGTCTGAGATTTTTACTGTGTGTGCAAGCTAACAAGTTAACCTGCCACAGTGCCATGGATGCTGGCAGAAGACAGGAGACTCCCAAGTCAGAGGCACTGGAGGCTGCGTGAGCTTCCTGTTCCCCATCTACTCCTCTGTCTCCCAAGTTCCATGGGGCTGATTGGAGTAGCTCAGGTGGATGCTGCACATGCTGAGGAATTGAAACCTACTCTTTGAGAATGCAAGCAGGGCTTCCCTGGTGGCGCAGTGGTTGAGAGTCCACCTGCCCATGCAGGGGACACGCGTTCGTGCCCCGGTCCGGGAAGATACCACATGCCGCAGAGCGGCTGGGCCCGTGAGCCATGGCCACTGAGCCTGAGCGTCTGGAGCCTGTGCTCCGCAACGGGAGAGGCCACAACAGCGAGAGGCCCGCGTACCGCAAAAAAAAAAAAAAAAAAAAAAGAGTATGCAAGCAAAGCTGCCCAAGAGGGAGATACTCTTTCTTCCGAGGCTGTTTCCTATGCACGCATAAAAAGATAGTCTGGAACAAAAGCAGTGTGCCTCTGCTCACAAGGTTTGCAGAAACATGAGATATTCATAGAAAATTGTCTCTCAAAAGTTGGAATTCAAAATATATAGTAACTTCTATCTACAAAGAGGTATAGAGTACTTATTTTCAAAGAGAATGAGTTCTATTTAGTGACCGTTAGGACCAGTGAGGCCATGTTCCTTGAGAATAGTGTGCATTTAAACCTCTTGCAAATGTTTTATTGTCAAAGATAGTTTTATGTTACAGTTGAAGACCGTTCACTTAACATGTGCACCAACTAAAAAAAATACAGAATTTTCCAAATTGAATCCAGAGCAGTGTGATAGTGCAAACAGGGTGTCTAAAAATGAACACTATAGCTGTTATATATTATAACCATAAAAGATTTTGATAATTGCCTCTGTACCTTTGCCCAAAACCTCAACCCAAAACGTGTCCTGCCCCCCGCCCCCAAAATCCCACTCTTCCCAACAAACTGAACGTGTGCCTCCAAGTGAGTGGATCCTTGTAGAACAGCTGCCCTTCCTTTAGTGGTGCCCTTTTTCCTAAGATGCTATCCAAGTCCAGGGAGTCTTTGGAATGTCTTTGGTTGAAATAATTGAGGAACCGCTGAAATATTCTTCTGAACAGTTGTGCTGGCATCTGACCATCCTTTGAGAGAATATTTATTATTTTTTTTTACTGTGAAAAGTCATTTAGAGATGATGAATTGGGAGGGTAGTCAAATTTGCTGATATTTCGATGAAAAATTAAGCATGTGACTAAAATTCAATGAGTGCCTTTTTAAAAATCATGATTTTTATTTAAAGTGCATCTGAGGACTCCCAAGGAGACATTCAGTAATATTGCTGGGATAACTCTAGCCTCCCTCATTTATATGGATTACTCTGCATCTATATCTTTGTAAAAAATTAGTCTACTTGCTTTATAATCACATCCAAAGTTTCTCCAGCTTTTTATTTTTATTTTATTTTTAAATTAATTAATTAATTAATTTTTGCGTTACGCGGGCGTCTCACCGCTGTGGCCTCTCCCGTTGCAGAGCACAGGCTCCGGACGCACAGGCTTAGCGGCCATGGCTCATGGGCCCAGCTGCTCCGCGGCCTGTGGGATCTTCCCGGACCGGGGCACGAACCCGTGTCCCCTGCATGGGCAGGTGGACTCTCAACCACTGCGCCACCAGGGAAGCCCTCTCCAGCTTTTTATAATTTCTTGATTCTCTGCCACATTCCTGGGACTCCTGTTGCTGGCTGTGCTGTACATCAAATTTCCAAAATTTTCCAGAGCCTCCTCTTCTTGATGTGACAACACATATATGAGAGAGAGAAGGGGGAGCACCAGAAGAGGTACCCCAAGTTGAAGGGAAGCAGGGCATCCCTTCCAAATGTCTCGGAGTTGCTGTTTTCCCCACAACCAACTCCTGGTTCCGGACTCTGCAGTTGCTCTTTCTCCACTGTCCTGAGATCGTGCTCCAGCTTCCCTACCCCACTCACAAAATGCTGATCCGGGCCCATTATCATGCAAATTATGAGGATTACTGTGATTTTCCGAATAGTGCTTTTGAGAATTGGAGATGAAACTAGTGTTATGACTCACAGTATTATTTCTTTATACACTGAACCTCCACATCTTTCAAGTCTGCTGACTTGATGACAGGGTATCGCTCCGAGCGTCAGGAATGACACAAATGGGGCAGCGCACTTTAGATGATTTTAGGTTTGCTAATACTAAAACTGAGTTTTGAGTAGAATTGTGACTGTTTCAGTGTGTTGAATAATTTTTAGAGCGAGAAAAAAAAATCTTAAAAAAAAAGCCTTCCTCCATCTCCCTCTGTATGATTCGTAAAATTTTCTTTGCATTTAGTGCTAGGTACTTATAATCTGATTGAACCGAGTGCCTGTCCCCCAATCTCTCCACAGCCTAATATAAGCAGAGAGAAGGTAGGTACGGGAACAGAATCCATGGATTTTAGTCTTGGTGCTACCTCCATGGAGGGGCATTACCGTGGGGAGTTCATGACAGCGTGTATGCAAGTGCTGAGAACCTGGGAGGCCCCTTCTCAGCAGCTCTGGTTTGAAGTAGATCACACTTCCAGCTGCGCCCACAGAGGGCCAGGCATTGATGTGAGGGAGAGACATGGAAACAAAGACTCAGATAAGAGAAGTGACTTGTCACAGTTGGTGATGGAGCTGGAGCTGGGACCCAGGCACCTTCCTCCACAGGGGCTGCACTGTACAACCCACGTGTCTTTACTTGCACCACTGCTTCCGACAGCGGGGCTACCCCGGAAGACCATCACTGACGGGTTCCTCATGGGCTCCAGGTGCAGGGACCTGAGGCCGAGGGGAGGGGTGGAGGACAAAGCTAACAGTAGACTGTGCTTGGGATACAAAGAAAACAGAAAAGAACAAAAGCAAATAAAGA